TGACAAATTTAAGTGCGCCTTTAAATGACTGCATAAAAACCTGACTATCGTTGCATTCCTGATGCTGACATTTCAGAAGCAGATGCCAATCCCAATTACATGTCAGGTAGTAGTATTTGTTTTGGAAGTTGGAATCTCTCTTTCTGCAGCAATAATGGATCATTTTAATTTTGCAAAATTTCTCTACATCGGCAATGCAACACAGAAGACAGACCTATAGTGCACAAGCCACTCCTTACATACGCATGAAGGCTTTACTTGTATTTATAATCTATGGAAGTATAAGAGTGCTCTGTTCTATAAAAGAAAACTCCTATGATTCTGTACTTCCAGAAAAATGGCAGCTGTGAATTTGCTCACATTTTTCTGTATAAGCAGGCAACATACAAGCAAAGAGTCATTTCTTAGGCACAGGTAAACAAGCAAACTAAAGACTAAGCACAAAACACATGAAAAAATAATTACCAGTTTCATGCCCAGTTCATAGGCTTTGAATTGAGGGTGAGATGGGAGGGGCAGTGTGTATCCACTGCGTCTATCTGGAGCAAACTTCTGCTGCACCAGTTGAGCATATAAACACTTTGTGAAAGTAACCTGAAAAAGCCAGAGCAAAGGAAAAACACTCACTGAAGTGTAACTATCTTGTGTACAAGCATCAGCTTCCAACCACTCTAATTTTGCTTTAGAGCACATATATTACAGATGATATCTGAGGCTGTAGTCAAAATACATCTTAGACACATTCACCTAAGATTGTTGCTTTTCAGATGTCACAAAGTATATTCCAAGTTGACATATCTGAATAGACTTCATGCAGCCTAAATACATCAGAAAAATGCCCCAGCATTCATGCCAACAAAGTATATTTTAAAAAAGGCCAAGTACTGTCCCAAATTGACAAAACCAAAGCTGAGATTTCAACAGTCTAGAAGTCTAGAATTTGACTGCAACTCTTATTTTCAGGAGTCTAGGGGTATTACTCTGTAATCCAAACTTATCTGATATGACACTGCTTGGAGAATGCTCATAAAGCACCTCATAAAACAGCTTTCACAAAGCTGTGTAAGCACAGCTGAGAAAGTAAAAAGCCTTGGAATAAACAGCTAGTGGCTGTAGGAGCAACTCCCTGTGTTGGCTGGCAGTGCTGTCAAATTGCTCTGATCACAGAACTAGGTCAATTTACTTAGCACGCCATCTCAGCAGAGGAACTACCAGCAGTAACCTCTGATTTCAGAAACACTTATCTCATGATTAGCCATGTCAATCTGAAGGCAGAAAAGCTATTAGCGTCATGAACTAGAAATTCAGGTCTAGTGCCAAAAGAAAAAAAATCAGAAAATGCGCTATTTTAAAAATTAAATTTACATATTTATATCACTTGACCACAGAACTTCTGCCAGCTACAGAACCTAATTAAATGACAAGCTGCATTAGAAGGATCGCTTACTATGGTCATCACACGCTCCTCGGGACGGAAAGTCTTAAAAGGGCGACATGCTCGTAAATCCACAGGATCTCTCAGGTAAAAGGCCTGGACTGCTGCAGCCACCAAGGAAGGGCGCTGCCTCAGCACTGCCACAATGCCTGCTGGAAGGTAGCAGTGGGCTTGGTGAAACGAGGCTTGAATTTTCTCAGGATACCTGTATCACACAATAACAACACAGTGTAGTAAATGTATTGCAAGCCCAAACCACCCCTTTATTAATTATTATTCCCTTTTTTGCTTTAATATTATTATGGGCCAAGTGCCAGAACATCATTCTAAACTAAATTTAAAGCTCAGCTAACCTAACATCTGGAATGTCTGCTTGTATATATACATATATGCAAATATAAATATCTAATTAAATTTAATTCCCACAGCAGTAAAATGAATCACTGTGAACTTGACTACATGTCCATCTATACAGTACCCTTCACTGCACTGAGTGCAGAAGTCACCTGGCTTACACTGCCAAAACCTTGTAAGAAATAACGTACAATGCTGAACACAACTGTGACAAGTTGACACTCTGAAAAGTGTTCTAGTTCTACATTTTAGTTTGTAATCTTCTTTCCTCCCGCTGCAAAGGCTCCTAAAGGCTCACAGAACTTTTCAGATTATTCAGTACAAGAAGGATGTGAAGGAAGAAATAACTCTTGTCATTGTCAGGTGTGGCGTCATAGCAGTGAACCACTTTCAAAGCCCCCAGATCACAGCATAGTCTACAGGACAGTGGTCCCCCTCTTTAGAAGAATGCCACCAAAAAAACTCCAGCTGGTGGCTTCTGAAAAGGAAGCAATTTTATCACATCTAACAGAAAGTATGCCAGACAGCCCAGAATCAAAACTTACTGTTGCAGAAGACCAAAATAAAACACCCACATACCCACTGATGCGTTTATACACTGCTGTTCTAATGGGTTCTGCAGCCAGGAACTCCTCCGAATGGTTGGATAACAGTGTTAATGCCTGCGAGATTGTCAGATTGTCAGCAGATGGGTTGTATTCCTTCTCTTGACTCTCTGACAGTGGAATGATGTGTAGTTCTCCTTTGTAAAAGAACACCTGGCAGATAGTAACACTGTCATCAGACAGAGTAAGAACAATCACACACTAAACAATGGAGAAATTAATTTAATATACGAATGCAACTGTTTAAACACAACACATTTTATTATTTTAGTGTGAGGTGTCCCTGCTTCAGTGTGAGGTGTCCGTGCTCATGGCAGGGGAGTTGGAACTTGATGATCTTAAGGTCCTTTCCAACCCTAACTGTTCTATGATTCTATGATTTCAGGAGCTACATATGAACTCTGCTGGATCCTGATCCCAAGAACTGAATGTAATATTGTCAATTCCCTCACTCTCCCCATTCCATTAAACGGAAGAAAAATATGGTCCTGGTAGCCCAGCTACAGGCTTGCAACTCATTTTTGCTTTGTATTCCACCCCTTTTCTTTCCAAGAGTCTTCTGGCAAGAAAAAACACAAAACCAAAAATACCCAAAATCTTTGTTCATGAAAAATTAAGTTCTTCCCATTACAATCCATAGCCAAGAAATTCAGTGACATAGCTTCTAGCAATCATCAACAGCAAGGCGATCTGGCTGCAACCTCCAGGTGAAGGAGTCCACTCATGGAGTTATGCCAGAGTCAGTCTGTCTCCCCACAGAGTCAGCAACACTCCAGCATTCCCCACTCTGAGGGCAGCAAAACCTTATGCCTGAGCATTCAAGAATATGGTAGAAAAAACACAAGTGGCTATATTAGAGCTAGAAAGTTCAGGAGGATCTAAGAGTGCTCCTAAGTGCAGTACTGTAGGTTTGTACTACACTGCCAAATACATTTCAATAGTTCCAGTCTTATTCAAGCCTTCCTTGCAGTGGAGTAACTTAGGAAATGGAAAGCTGGTCAAACTTACTGATTTTACAGATCAATCAATAGCACGATAGCTTCACTGCCTTCATATCTGCCACCACAAGTAGCAAGCTTCAAAAAGTTCAGTCAGCTCTTCATTATGGGACAACCCATAAAGAATTAATTATGCAGAGTCATAATTAATTAAAGAATTAATTAATAGAGTCAGATCCAGCTGAACAACACAGACTCACAGCCTAGCAGGAAGGTCTGCAGTCTCCATATGAACATTTGCTGTTAGCATAAAAACGTGTAAGAAATTTCTCTTTCTTTCTTCCATCAACAAACCAATTCTAGAAGAACAACCTTATACCTGCAACAATTTCCAGGTATCCCTACAGCAGTTTCTCAGTCACTCTACACAGCATTCTACAAGAGCACACAGGTAAATCAAGTATCAGAGATTTCCAGTGGTTAGGTCTCTCGTTCAACATCCACGGCAAGCAGAAAGAAGCTCATTAAAACTAGAATAAAAGACTGTGCTGAAAAAAAACTATGTTGTTAATTAAAACAAGTCTTGAGCCTTGACCAGAAATTTCTTCACTACTGAGGGCTAGACAGCAGTCTGGATTTTCAGTGGCAGTCAGACCACTTGGTTACATAGAAGTTCAAGAGAAAACTCCAACTGGTAAAGATCCATTGCGAGCCACTTGGCAACATGTACGTAAGTTTTACTCACCCTGTTGTCACTGTTCTCAGGATTCAGCCACTTTGGGAGAAAATCAGCTGCTTCTATCAAGAGAAACTCCCCATCGTTGTCATCGATCCTGGCCAAGCAGAAATTGGTTTCTTATCAGAGAAAGTCTCACACAACACAATTAACACGCACTTCCAAAGCCATGTCTGCTTTTTATTTTAACGTTAAGACATGACCTCCCGTCAGGAGGTCCCTTCGCACCCCATGCCCCAACCGCCGGGCACAGCACTGGGCCCGCGGCGGCGGTCGGAGCCATTACCTGGCCGCCAGCCCCGGGAACTCCCTGGTGATCTCCCGGACGAGGTAGACGATGAACCACTCATCCTCCACGTTATCTCCGAACAGCGTGGTGCCGCCGAGGTGCGCCGGGATCTCGCCTGGCCAGGGGCGAAGAGAGGCGGCTCAGCGCCCTGCCGGGCTTCCCTCACACATCCCGCTTCCCTGGCTCCCCTCACCCCCCGTCCCCCGAGGCTCACCCCGCGGCGGCACATAACGCAGACGGAAGGGCTGTCTCTGCCAGATATAGGTGGCAAGGAGCGGCGCGAATCGCACCGCGACGCCCTCGGCGCAGCGGCGGAGTAGCGCCTCGCCGGCCGACCCCGTGGCCGCGAAGAGGCAGTAGCGCACAGCATCCTCCGCCACCGCGGCCTGCCGGATCGCCTCCATGACAGCAGGCCGAGTCGGGCCGCGCTGCGCCGCGCTGGGCAGGGCAGAGCGGGGCGGTAACGCGTTGCTCCGCCTCCCCAGGGGCGTGGTGCGGCCATGGCGGCTGCGGGCCGGCGGTGGCCGGCGGCGTCGCGGCGGAGCTGAGGATGATCTCGCGATACGCCCGGAAGCCGGTGCCTCCCGGCGCTCTGGAGATGTGAGTCGCTGCCGCCTCCTCCTGTCCCGCTACCGCCCGCTGTCCCTGCCCCCGCCGCCCCAGCCAGGTCCCGCTCCCGCCCGGTGCCGTGCTCGGGCCTGCCCGCCTCGCACTGCCCTTCAGCCCGAGAGCCGGGCCCTGTGCCAGGTCGAGGCCCCGGTTACCGCGTGTCGTTGCGGGCGCAGCTTGCCGGTAACGCCGGGGTGGGCCGAGTTTAACGCGGAGTTGCAGGGACCCGGTGCCGTTACCGCGGTGCGGTGGCGGTACCGGTACCGAGGCAGCTGCCGGCGGTGCTGCCTCTGGAGGTGCCGGGCGTGGGGGACAGCCACGGTAACGTGCGCACACGGATCCTGGCCAGTGAGCGTACTCGTCGCTTGGAAAACATAAGTGTGAGAAAACGCGATTAAATCGTTGGTCTTGTCCTCTCTTTTTTTGACCCAAGAGTTCACGGGAGCGTAGGCGCTTTGGGGTTTGGGTTTTGGTGGGGGGGGAGCGAGAGGTTTAAACAAAGACAACAGTTCGGTAATTCGCTACTACTATGCTTAATTCAGTCGTCTTTTCTGAACAGCAAAGAAATGACAGGAGAGGCAGCTTCTTTACCTAAGGCTTTTTGAGCTGATACCTGGGACAAGACTTTTGCTCCTGCATTGATACTTCTCTGCCTCCAACTATTGTGACTTTTCTCGTCCTTCTTTCCTGAACATATAAACTGGAAAACAAACAAAAAAAGGCAAATACTATTTCTCCTGGCTTGCCTGTGCATGGTTTGGTGGCTGCTCTTGTTCTGTTTGATTGTAAGTCACCTACAGGCATAATGAGATTGTATCTGCTTTTAGAGAACTGTAGACTAATTCTCAACATTTTAAGAATAAATGAAGACACTGAATTTTAAGCAAAACCCTTTAACTCCATGTTTAGCCTAGAGTTAGTTTTGATACATTAATTCTAAAGCTTTGGTAACAAAGATTAGCCTGATATTAATAAATGAGCTCTGTTATGCAAATTAGTGCATTCCTTAAAAGCAGGGAAAAAAACAAACAAAAAACCACTGTGGGACCTCCGTAGATATTTGTTGCTGTAAGTAATGTCAAGTTCCACTTCTTGTCTTATTTAGACAGGGACTTCCAAAACACACCTTGCAGCATCACCCACTGCCAGAACCAGGAGCTGAGGTGCACCCAGCCACACCCAGGGCTGAAAACCATGGCAAGACCTCAAGGTACTCATCATAACATAAAATGAATCGTTGTCTGGAGACAATGGGAAGAGCAGGCACCTATTTTGGCAGTAATAGAAAGCATGTAGCTGTGTTCTGTTCCCATCTCGCAAATGGCTTGGGTCATCTGATTTTAAGGCAGAAATGAGGAGAAACGATAAAATAATTTCTGACTGCTGCAGAACAAAGACTGGAAATAGTCTGCTGCTTAACTGAGATAATTTTTGGAAAATCTATGCTTTGCTTGACGTTGAGATTTCCTGTGTCATTGGGATTATTAGTAGTTACAGTTGTTACAATTACTTGTGTACTGTAGGTTCTGCTTAAATGCCTCTGAAGTAAGTATTTACCCTATGAAAACTCTTAGCATTGCCAAGATCTATTCTGATATGTTTTCTGTTGTATGGAGAGAAAAGTTTGTCATTGTGTATTCTTGGGTGTTTTCTCTTTTTTTTTTTTTTTTTTAATCTTGACTCAATATATTCATTTCAGGGAGTCTGAAATCCAGAAGGAATCGGATTATCCTTCTGTTACTCCAGCTGATCGTGGGAATTCATGGTCTGCTATTCAGGGTTATGCTGACGCCTCCACCGAAGACAGCTCAGCCTTCTCTTGGGGCTATGATGTGAGTAGAATATAACCATTCAAGCCAAATCTAGCACACTGAGTAGAAAGACATTTGAAATACCATTGCAAATACACTGCAGGATAAAAACGAGGATTGGATCTCTCCCTAAATCATAAAAGAACATCTTTACCTCTTCCCCATTATTCCTTTCTCTCAGATTAAAACATACCAGGCTCATGTTTCTCAATTAATATTCTGCATTTTCATCTAGCATTTTGAAAATGCAGATCATGTAAAGCATAAGTTTATCTGTACACCATAATAAATGCTGCTGTTGTGGAATCCCAGACATGAATGGATGACTTTCAGGCACTTGGTGTGAGTTTATCAAACTTCTGCATACTTGTATGTTTCTCAAAATACAGTAAGACCATAAAACATTTTAATCTAGAAATATTTATTTTATTCTCTGTCTGCCCAAACAAAGCATGCCATTGTTTTCTGTGAGGTAAGATGGAACTGTTTAGATTTTAAATTACCCAAGAACTGACCCCATTTTCTAGAACATGTAACAGAGGTCCCAAATATCCATCAGTTGCACAGTGTAACACACCATCCTGCACTGGTTTCTGCTTTGCTGTTGTTTGTGGACATGGCAAGCAACAGATTTTCCATTACATTAAAATGTCGATGAATTTTATACTTCCTGTTCTGATTTCTTTTCTGTAAATTGCTATTTTTTTAATATAACAGTACAGATATTTTAAAATGTTTTAATAGCTAATCTGTAGTGTCAATGAAAGCTTTATGTGTAAACATCAGTCTTAACAGCAGTCTGCATCATCACTGGAGAGAAATTATTTAAAGTTAATGTCTTTCTGTGAAAAAAAAATAGAACTGGTTAAAGTCCTACTAAACTTTAAACAATTAATTGCCTTTTTCAATTATATAAAAAAAAATCTATTTAAAACCCCCCTCTGAATGCTATTCAGTAGGTATTTATTGGATAACTTTCTTTTCTAGGAATTTGATAAAGCTGCCACACAGCAAGTTGAACAGATGCTCAGACAAACTGATGAGCTTCTCTATGAGCAGACAGAAAATGAGCAGGTTGAGGAACTGCGGGAAGAATGCCAGCAGTGGACATCCAATTTTCCTCATCTCAGGTATTGTATAGACTAATGCTAGTACCATCACAGTTATAGGTAGGGATGGAAGCAGTTGCTTTTAAAACAGCATTAGTAACAGGGTGGTTTTATATAATTCTGTAGTATTATAGTATAACTAGAATTAACTACTTATAACTAGAGATAAAAAGATCACTTTGGTAGTCTGCCTGCCATTCTCATTAATAAACATCCTGCTATCTCGCATTTGGTTCCTTCCTAGAGGATTTTTGCTATTTGCAACTGACTTGGCCTTAACATAGCCAAATTCTCTCAGAAAAGATGTATGGTTGAGCTGAAAGCCATGTGCTTAAAATAATATAAAAATCCTTCTGCCCTAGTTCAGCGGTACTTATGGCTGTCTAGAAACTTACATTTTAAATCTTGGCTACATGAACCTGAACAGTTTCATCCACATTCAAAAGTCTTCCAATTAGCAGAGCATAAAAAACCAAGCAGCACTTTCTTAATGTATTTACCTGACTCAAAGCAATCTGTACTAGAAAAACAACTGAAACCACTTTCAACTGTCATAAAGAGAACTACATAGAATTCTTAGGATTTGCTGCTATGTTTTCTCACACTCTTCAATAATCATACTGTCAGTGTTTTCTGATGTGTTTATCCTTTGCTTTTGCCATGGCAGAGTTGTGGGGAAGCAGATTGTGATCCCCACAGATGAAGGGTATGGATGGTATTCAAGTTTACCTTCTGTCAGTTCAGGTTCCTCAGATGTAAGTTCACCACCAGAAAAAGATTCTCATGAGTAAGTACCAGTGGTTAACCCAGACTGTACCAAGGTGGGAAGGTAATTTTGTTCTCAGTAGACTGCAGTGGCAAGCTTCTTAAAATGTGAAGCCTAACTCCTTTCTGTTAGGCTGAGTTTTGAACACAGCATTCAAAATGGCAAGACTGCTTGTTGCTAACTACAGTAAAGTGGACAGTAAATAGAAATACCTTTGCTGCTACTGACTTCTTAAGAATATGTATGTATTGTAGCTGGTTTTATTGTTATCATCTATTAAATTTGTATAGAACTTAAACACCACAAAGCACTAGTTTAGTGGTACTTTTATCATTTAGTGTTTTAGGATGATTTTTAATTAGCTTTGATTTTTTTTTTTTATTTTTTTTCCCTGAAGATTTAAGATTCTTGGCAAGAATTAAAAATATCCAGGCCAAAGTTTTTCCTTTAATACATAATTTGTTGGCCTCAATACTGCTCAGCCTTAACTACCATGTTGTCTCTCAGTTCACAAAATGCTGCTATTTGAAATGGAATAACAACTTGTTTTAATTTCTGCTTTCTGAAAACTGTCACTTGTTCAGATTTAGTGTTTTTGGCAAGAAGGTACCTCTTTCTGTTACTCCCATTCACAAAAAGGCTGACCGTTCCAAGTCTCCGACCTTGTGTTCTCCAGAGAGTGAAGAAGGTGAAAATGGAGTAATTGTCTCTGAAGGCATAATGGAGGAATATTTAGCATTTGACCACAGAGATGTGTAGGTATTGAATATTAAGATAGTAGCTAGTATCAGTATCCTGGAATTCCTGCAGTTAATACATAAACAATATATATTAACAAAATATATATAACATATATTTGGTTTTGATGTTGATAATTTCTTTTTTGATAAATTGATAGCTGATAAATTTGATGAATTTATTTCTTTATATCTTTTCCCTAAAGAACTTTCAAAGGCCTGAGGTAGGATGCTTGGGCACTGGAAATTCTCCCAATCCGTTTCCTAGAAGAATTTATTTTGATAAATTATTTTTCAGATTTTTTTGGGGTAGGTTTTTATACTAGCCATTTTTGTGCCTGGTTTAAATAGTTCCTTCCATCATAACTAATAGCCTGCTCTCTATGTGCATATTTAATAAAACTTATTTAAATGGCATTTATTTTTTATACTAAGTCAAATTCATTGCTGTTTGTTACGCACTAGCAGTGTGCTACTTTGGTTTTGTACTGGAATTTGGGTGGAATTGTACCTTTCCAGATTTTAAGTGGTAAATTAAGAATTGGGAGTGGATTTGATGCTTGCCAAGAAAAAAAAATCACTATTTTTATCTTAAGAAGAAAGGATTAAAGTTAGTATAAAGAAGATTCTTTTTGCCCTTCATTCAACCCAACAATATGAACATATGGCCTGGGTCAGGACTCTGGGTGGTACTGTAAGTTGCCAACTACTTAACTGGTTTTAAAAAGAAAGCCACTTAACTGCATGGACCATGAGATTCAGGTTGGTAGGTGGCATGCTTTGACCAGGCCAGAGGGACACTGCTGAAGCAAACAATATTGCTGTCTCTGTGAAACAACAGTGGAAGTATTACAGCTTTTTCTAGAGGCATCTCCTTAGTTTTTCTGGGTCCCCCCCCACCCCGCCTTGTAGTTTTTGGATGGTAAATACTAATTTAGGGAACATACAAGAAAGCCGTAACGAATATACTCACATCAGTATTTTCTCTCTTCTATAAGGTTTCTTTTGGCTGATGAACATAAGCTTTTTTGTGCAGCTGTCTTCCAGGTTTCACACTTCAGAATACCTCTTGCATTGTGGAAGAGCACAGCAAAGGCCACTTGCTGCTGTGTATTATGTTTTTTCTTCCCTCTATTGATTACATGTAATTGTCTAAAAATGAATGAAGCCTGACAAATGAACAAATATCACCTGAACTATTGATGCTTGTTTTTTATAAATACTTAATTTTATATTTCTATTTTTATATAAATATATTTAAATATATTTACATTTTATCTATACATCTGAAAATATTTACATCTAAATTTTTGATAATTATTTTTAAATGGAACTTTGCCTTGGTAACTAATTTATTATTCATGAATATCATTTATAGTGATACTGTGTGGGGAAAAGAAGGGGTGCTGTAATGAGGTGATTGTCCCTGTCATTTCTTATTTAGATCAACAGTAGATTCTGGAAGAAACGAAAGTTCAAGTGCCTGATGTACGGAAGCTTGCTTCTTTCACTATTACGCTGTTATTTGATACTGCTTTCAGAAAATAATACTGTGTGATAAATACAAAACTTCTCCTGGAATTTCAAATTGTATTTCAAATTGTTAACAGCTTGTCTTCAAGCTGTTTGGCCAGCTGCCTTCACCTATTTCAGGTTAGGAGAAAATGGAACAGAAATGCAGCATTAGCTGATCCTATTAAATAAATGCAACAACATATGACAAAGAAAATATGTTTATGGTACAAGTAATGCTTATGTTTTTACAGGGAGGAGGAGTTGCATGAGAGGAGAAAGGGACTGTCCTCTGGTAGACACAAACTGGGATTTCCTCCTATTTCTCCATATGCTTGTATGAAGGATTCTGTGCTTACATTTGTGTTTGATGATGTGTGGAGTGAAGTCATAAGCTGCATGGAAGAATTAATCTGCAGACACTGGGAAGGGTCAGCCTCTGGTAGGTTAAACTGAAGATCCAGAAGGGGATTTCAGTTTTCAATTTTGCGAGAATGTAATGAGAGAGATTTATTTTGGGAATAATCTCTTCGGGGGTGTACGTGGTGTATTCTTCTAACAGTGTGAGACATGCCTTCAAAATATTTAACAGAGCTTACTATCTGAGAGGACTCTCTTCACAAAAATAGCACAGTCCACAACCAGCAATGCCAGTCTGCATTGACATGAATTCTCTATTGCTTTGCACAGATGATGAGAAAAATATTGTAGCAGTAGAAACAATCAGAGCAGATGCTGGAAGTGCTTTGCAATTTGATCCTCTGCCAGTGTTGTTACCTCCTGTGCCACAAACTAAAATGCCCTCAGTGACTTCAGATCTGGTAAGTATTTTTAGCCATCCGTTTTGTGTATGGATGAATCAATACAGTGCAACCTAAGCAAACAGATTCAAGTACATTGAGAGATTGTTTAAATACATGACGAGTTTGGATTTTGTGTGAATTCTGACTGTCCTTTCCAACACTTAAATTCTGTTATTTCTCAGTTGCAATATTTTAGTTCCTGCTTTTCTCTTTAAAACTTGGTTATGTATTGGACAACTGTGCTGACCGTTCATTAGTGATGTACTTCTTTCTACATTTTAATAATATTTGATCTAAACTGTGAGATAGAGGATTGCATGATTGAGATCCCATTCTCACTAGCTTTAACTCAGCAGGCAATAAAGGGCAAATCCCACCACAGTTATAAAACAGGTTGGTTTTTTTAACTCAGACACTTAAATTGGACTATATTACCTATTTTAGATTATCTGCTCCCAGAGGGGTGAGTGACAAAGTGTTATCTGTTATTCCATTTTAATTCAGCTCTTTCCTTCTCATTTCTTTTTATTTTTTTTTCTCCTTTATTTCTACCCTCTGCCTCTTCCTCATGTTCCCTTTGCTGTATGTGTAGTGCTCAAAACCCAGATGTGGCCGCAAAAGCAAAAAGAGAAGAAAAACACCTCAAGTATGTATGCTGGAGAGATTAAAGCTCTGGTATTTTCTATCTGCTATTGTTAACAGTGGGTGGAATTTGATGTTTTTCCAGATCAGTCTGTATTCCACAAAAGGAGTTTGCAGCTCTGTTCTTGACAAAAAATGTTGACATACACTGAAAATTAGTTTTATAAAGCTTGGAATTACAGCCATTGTTAGAAGATCCTGCCATGCAAATGAGAAGCTCAGTTAGAAAATATTAAGTATGACATAGCATGGTAGGATACATTTTCTAAGCACTACCATTTGCAAGAACAATAGGATGAAAAAATGCCTTAGACGGGGAAATAATGTAACTGAGTGTATGTCTGGATATCATGGAAGAAATTAATTTCATTCTTCCAAAATTCCACACAGGGACAAAAATCTATAAATACGTGTATATGTCTCTGAAAAGTGTAATTTACTCCCTTATTTTTTAAATTTTCAGGTAAATCTCTCTCAAGGGTCAAGTACTGGCTCTCAACATAATCTAAATGGACTGATGGTAATACAGGGGATCCAGCTACAGCAAAGGAATCTGCCTGTAATGGAGAAAACGCTGTAAGAACTACAAATTATCTGTAAAGTAGAGCACCCTCATGGTGAGAGGGATTCACCCTGAAATATTGAGAGATAACTGTCTACACTGGAGAAAGCAACTCTCAAATGCTTTCCTGCTTGGTTGTTTACTTATTTGTCTTCTATGAAACAGTATATTTCTAGAACAGGTTTTCTGTTTGATTGCTGCTGGTTTAGCACTTAGTGAACAGCCGTGGCATCGGCACTGACACCCTGAAAAGAAATTAAGATGGCATAGAGATTTGCTCAGATCCAAGAATCTTCAATCGGAAAGTTCATAGTTCAGTGAAGAAAAAAAGATAGGCTTTTTTTTTATCTTTTCCATCCCCTATTATTTTCTAATTTGGCTGTAAATTACTTTATATAAATTACATAAAAAAACCTCACAAATTGAACATATCATCTCTATCCACATGTAATATTGTTAATGTCACATGTAAATGAGTACTTTATAGGTGTCAGTCAGGTTGACTATATCTCTTTTGGTTCTGTAATTCTTTTGTTAGGGATCTGGATGACAAACAGCTGGGTTCCAGTTCCATCCTCTCTAACAGAGTGTGGCCAAATCGTCCATTAGAGCTCAGCACATCATCCCTGTCACATTCCACAAGAAGGCGAAACCCACCGCCACGTACCCTGCATCCCATCAACACAAGCCACTCTCGTACTGGGACCCCAGGGTCTGTGGATGATGTCTTCAGGAGAACTCAATTGTATGTTTTAAAACCAGTTTCTCACTGCAAGTTACCATATCTAGAGAACCCAGTTTATACTAAAAGCACTCAGTTGAATAGAAAGAATATGAATGATTTGATTAAAGGAATTAACTACCCATTAAAGCACAATCTCCCTTGAAAAGGCACTAAAGTTGGTATTTATTGTGCTACAAGCTGTGATTCAATGAATCACATATTTAGGTAGTTTTGTGCACTGCACAAGCAAATACCACCATCTTTCTTGACACTGGCTTTCTTTTTCTATAGCCTGTTTTTGAGCTGTATTTTGTCTGTATTTTTTGGAGCTTAAACTACCTGTTGCTGTTCTAGTCCAGAGTGGGTATAAAGAAGGTGCCCATTTTAGGTTATCTGACCAAAGGATTTTTAATCAACTCGGTAAATCCTCAGTTACATCTAGAATGTCTTCTTTTTGTTTGGCATAATGATCTGAGTGAATGTCATTTAGAGGGACCTTGGGGTATCAGGAAACAATGTAGGGTTTAATATGCTCTATTCCACGTGTGTTGTAAATTAACAGTTTCCTTTTAGTTTCTCAGCTTACCTATAAACTCATTCAGCCTGGTTTGTTTTTTTGTTTTTTTTTTTTGTCACATACTCTGTTGAGGTTTGGTCCTTGTCCCTTCATAACTGATGTTTCTACTTCCAGTATTTAATGCTTCTGTTCCCTTTCCTCAGGCTTTGTTCAATCTAATGATTGTTAACATCTCCCGTTTAATACCATGTATTTTTAAACGTATGCACTAGGAAAGTATTTTTTAAAATGCTGATTAGTTTTTAATGCCTCTTTACAAGACATCCTTCCTTCAGTCAACTCCAGAACATGTACAGAGCTAAAACCTCTTGATCATTTCTAGCACTTCTCAAACACACAATAATGTGCAGACATCTTTCAGGTGAAAAGGCTTTCCTAGGAAGAGGTTTTATCTAGAAAAGAAAACTTTCTCTTTTCATGCCTTCTGTGACCAAAACTTAATAAATTTTACATTTTATGTAACTAGATTAGTTTAGCTTCCTTTAGAATGCTTCCAAAAGCCTCTTGCACCTATTACTTCAAATAAACAAAATATGAAGAAGGTGGAAGCCTTATTTTACCCCAGATGTTTTACATGATGGTTGTAATAAGTGAAAGAGCTATACTCTGCACTAGCTTTTTTTACCTGCTCTGCTTAAAATGCAGGCCACTGTTGTTTTATAGGCTTGTTGCATAGCTCTAGGTGCTAGTCTGAAGTTAGCAGTACTTCATCCTAAAGGTTAAGAACAAAGAGCAGAAAATAGTGCTGTGCCTGGGAATAGGCAGACAAGATTCTACCATTGTGTGGTAACTGCACATGAAGATAACATATATATATATATATATATATACATATATATACACACGCACACACCCCTTTGTTCTGCAGTACCAGCTGCACAGGACACTCCAACAGGCACTGGATGCATTTTACCCAGCTAGCTTTTACATACACCAATTTCGGCTGGGGTATTCATTCTCAGACTCACTTTCTCTATATGCTTAATACTAAACATTCTGAAAACTAGAAGTTTTTGTTAATAGATGAAAAAGATTTCTGCCAAACTTCACATATGTCTCCAGTAATCAGTCTTAACACCAGCATCTTGTGGCAAAATTCTTCAATTGTTGCTTACTTTTAACATTGTCTATGTAATGCCAAACAAACTGACAATACTGTGTGTTTACACCATGGCAAACATAAAGTGTATGTTTTTTCCTGTTCTTATTGGTGCATTTCAGTCTGACTGCACATGAGCAGCTTACCTCACCCTCCCCACTGCTGCTAAACCGAAATAATCTCCTACCACCTATTAATACCACCAGTATGGCAGGTCATGTGAGCACTGCAGGATCCCAGAGGCAAACGGTAAGAGGCACAATAATTTAATTTTATTATTCAGTAGTCTAAAATTGCAATGAGTGCTGATCCAATTACCAAACCCAAGAGTTCCAGTTTATTTGTTACCTTGTGACAGCAACTGAAATGATGCACAAAAAAGTCCTATCAGTTTTGACTATCAGCATCACCCAGAGTCAACTGTTTTAATTCCAGTTAATGCCCGAATTTTTTCCTCTCTGTAACTAGATGTAAAATGGTTGACTTGGAAAATCAGCTTTAATTTCTAGGCTAATTATTTTAAATGTGCTGCTGCAATAAGGAAAACTTGTAACTGTTCTTCAATGCAGAAATCTCGAGGGAATTCAAGTCGAGCTCACAGTGTAACAGCACAAGAAGATACCCACCAGCAGCTACAGGAGCGGCTTCTCTTACCTGATCATTTATCCAAGCCTAACACAACCAACACATTCTTGGTAAAGCATGCAAATTATACCAGATCATCTTAATTTTCTGAATAGGGTGCTCTGACAGTTAAATATTAATTGAGAAGCAAGGGTCATAGGCAGTCAGTGGCAGGGAGTTCATCAGATTTGCCACTTGATTAGATACTCTCACTTTAACAGAAACATCATTGCTTGGCACTTCTGAAACAAACAGGGCAAGTCACTTGTTCAGGATAGCTAAAGCACTATAGTCCTCATAGCCAGCTCTGAACTACATCTATGTGTAGTTGCTGGTACTAAACTTTCCTTGAAAAATGGAAGTTTGCAATGCTTGTGCAGAAAGCTAAGTATTACTTTAGGTATAACATTTAATCTATCACCCGCACTGGTAATCTAGCATCTTCTGTGAAGGCTTAAGAACTGTGAGGTAGGAGAGGATGCTTTAAAGTTTTGCATAGACATGAAGAATTAACTTCTGCAGCTATATTCAGAAACACTGCTTTATTGCACAAGTTTTTTGTGCTGTCAGTGTCCAGCCTGGTTCTGTATTAAATTCTCTTGGTTTAATTTATTGAAACACAACTGCTAGCTTGTTCTAACAAAGAATTTGGTCTAGGCTTTAAAAGCTATCATCTCAACAGTAGAGTTTAAATAGCTGCTTGTTCTGTGTATAGTTTCAATATCCCTGACTTAGCAGGTACAAGCAAACAAACTTTCCGAAGTCTACTGTGAAACAGAACTATTTCCAGAAATGTTGAGAGTGCCTTTAACTGTGGTCATTCTAAGTACGAGTGTTTTAAAAGAGTATTTTCTACTCCTAAAGTTGATTTAACTCTTCTTGAAGTTGTAAAAGCTCTACTTAGACCTTTACCACATCTTAGATGTGTTTCATTAGTTTGAATCTGCATTATCATCTCGATGTTTAAAGATTTTTGTCTGCAAACATAAATAATGTGAACTTTCTTTTCAGCTAGATCCACAGCGCCGCCGTTCTTGCACTGTTATTGATCACAGTAGTCAGTCTCGGACAAGCAGAGGATCAATAGGTTCAGGTATGCTCATCAGTCACAGAATTTAATATCAAGGAAGAAGTAGGCTTTTAGGACAGGGATGCATTTCCTACATAGGTAACTGTGTTCAGGAAGCTTTTCAAAGTTCTAAATATATTTTCCATTATACAGGTTTTATAGTTGCAAAGAATATGTTTGGGTGCAGGTGTGCTTTTATTACCACCTACTATTTTAAATCATTTAAGGAAGCTTCATGTAATCAGCCCTTGTGGCTCTCATGTCAAAGGTAAAAGCAGGAGTTGCCAGTTTAAACAGAAACTAGCAACAACTACTTTCTGTCAAGGGGATTTCTTCTGCTCAACTGTATAACTGAAAAAAATTGTCTTATATCCAAAGGAAACTTATTTGCACTGTATCTGAAAGGTATTCTACTAGATCTTAAAATTGTTTTAGATCATCTTGAAATATATTTTAAAGCCAGTAACTGTACAATTCACATGCGTACTCTGAAATCACGAGTTTCTTGTACTGTTTAATTTGTAAAAATTGGATAAACTTAATGGAGTTACTTGGCATAACCTAAAATGAATCTCACCTGAAACTACGTATTTTTAATTAACCAAAGTGTCAAGGCAGCAGGAAGGCAATTTTGGTGTGAATGTAATGCATAACTCTTCCATGTTTTTTGTCTTCCTTCACTGCAAAGTCATCTTGTTTGTGGTTAATACGCTTCAAAAACAGTTCTCATATATGCATTGGAGTAGTTACAGAGTCATAACCAGGGTTGGGTTTTGTTTTTACAACTTTCTTTTTTATAGCAGGAAGCTACAGTACTAAGCTGCATGTGTGTACACAAGTGTTACAGTAGACCAGCGAAGCTTACCCTCAGAGATTTAGGTTTCGACCTCTTATTGCACACACAAGGGCTACCCTAGTCAGTTGAAAAGGATTTTGTTCACAAGTCATGGTAGAGCAGAAAGTTACCTTTGTGCCCTGGAACAGATTTTCTGAATGCCATCTTGATAGCTCTCAGCTGAGTTTGCCTCAAGCACTCATTGCTAGCTTCAATATAAAGTCAAGCATCACCTCTACCTGGAAAGGGTGGCACAGAGCACAGTGTTAGATGCACTTTCTGAAAATGAGGTCTGTTAAGGCAAGTTACACTGGACTCCTTTCATCACAGTGTTTTGGGATTCCTTATGATGTTGACAGAATTTCCAACATAAAACTATACTAACAAGATATAATTGAAGGTGCAAAAGTTAATGTAAGCTGTGAAGGTTAAAGGAGCAAGTACATGGGTCATTATTAGAAGACAGGAGCAGTCTTCCTGCTTTTTTAATAGCACAGTGGCCTATTACCATTAATATAAGTAGTCCAAGAAACATAACTTTAACAAAGGCACTAAAGTAACTTGTTTTTAAACAAGGAAGGAGTGGTTCCTACTGAAATGAAAGAAAATACCTGCTCTTCCCACCCCCACCCCCCCAAAAAAAAAAAGTCAAACCAACAGATTAACAGTATCTTTGAATGCAAGATGAGTTTTACAATTTAAATACTGGATGAAATATCAAGGAATACAGTAGGTCCCTGCAATGCAGCAACAATGAAAGCACAAACTTTGTCCCTTTTGGAAGGCAAATCACTTGTGCAAATTTGAGACAAGTTACACATAATGCAGTTGATAGCCATGTATTAGAATAAAAAGCATGTTAGTTTTAAGCTAGCAGAGCTGTATTTGGTACTTAGTTTTAATACTTTCTGGAGGTCTTAAAAGTTGTACATGATCTCTGTTTATTAGGTCTTCAGCTGCATAGGTCTGTGAAAACCCACAGGCGAAGCGGATCAGTCACAAAAAGCAAACAGGGGTCTAACGTGCCATGAAGCATTCATCCATCTCCACAGAGTCATGAACCACCTCTCATTCTCAGCAATGTCAACATTGTTTACAGAGTTTTCAAACACCCTTCCTTTTGAATAGTTATTTTTATATAAATCTAAGAAGCAGGTGCCAAAGATTAGAAGGGGTATACTTAAACATTCCATTTTCTACCAGAAGAGTTATACTCCAGTGGAAGGGTGATCATACTCCGGTGGAAGGGTGATCACACTCCGGTGGGCAGTAAAGCCTAATTCCTAGAAAATCTATCAAATGCTCTCAGTCGTTGCTGTTTTCCCATTACGGGGTTGTGACTGGATCATGTTGTTATGGGCAGGTTCTGCAGAACCTGTTGATTTTTCCGTTAGCTTTACAGAAAATTAATCAGGCCTTCCACAGCAATAATAACTTAAACTTTTTAGAACTATATAACTGTATTTTTATGTTTAAAGCAATATTACACTATCAAAAGCAAGCACTGCACATGATACTGCTTCTACAAATCAACTTAGGTCTAAGTTATGAATCCTGTAGTAATTGCAGCAGATATTAATACACATGTATAAAACTAAGGTAGCAAACCAGATGAACAAAACTGATAGGTTCAAGGGTAGCACACCACTGACTCGTCCTGTGTTATATACTTACACCTCTTCCTCAGTGACTGAGGAACGTTTAAGAGGCAAAAAATAGTCTTTTAAGTACAAGTAGTTCCAGACAGTATTCAAAGAAAAAATACATTATCTTCCTGGTGGGATATTTTACAGTATTTTTACGGAATAGGTCAGTCTCTGTTTCCAGAAATACCTGCAATTATACAATATTTCTGCACTGTACCCTGAAGTTCCACAACTTGCAGATGCAGCGTAGCTTTTAGTAGATGCGTTCTCCACTGTGTGACAGACATACTGGAAGTATTAGCTGTAGTTCCCCTTGTGGCCCCAAATAAGACAAAAACATGAAATACAGGCTTCTCAAAATAAGCGATTAGGTCAAGGTTTTAGTCCCAAACAGTAAGCACCAGACTACAAGTAAAGTATAAACACAAGGAGAGGATAACCACTTACTGTATTTTAGCTAAGTTAGGGCTCTGCATGAAGACAGTTGCTCCTTTATAACCCACTTCAAAAGCATTTTTTTCTGAATTTCCTTATTACTGTGTTTCAAATTACAATTCATATGGAAAAAACTTGTCAAGAGTTCTTTTTGAAGTGGCTCCCCTGTTTCGCCACTTTAAGTTACGCAGTCTGTCAAATGTTATTGGTACCTGCAGAACAACTAGTATTTTTTAATCAGTATTGAAATTCTTGAGTCCAGCTGATCCAAGTGTGCTCTAATCAAAAAGAAGGGAAAAGAAAGCAAAGCAGAACTCTGCACATGTAACTGGGTTAATTTTCCTTTGCATTTCTAGAAAGGAAAAAGCACACTGGGCTCAGTCTAAATTTCTTAACTTTGCATAGAGAGAAACTGATGCTGAAGAGAGGCCTCTAGTGATTAAACCCTTTCAAAATACAGTTTCTCTTAACACTGTATAATGTCATTTAGTTATCTCAAGCTTAACTGCAGATAAGCATCCCATTTTTTATCAGTGCCATTCCTCAGGGACCAGGTTAGTTTTTTGTAGCCCTAGTGCATAAGTTATAAAAATATACACATAAACTTGAATAGATTTCTAGTAATAGTATATAGTAATAGTATTTTACAGCCTAGAGGAGTCAGTGTGTTAAAAAAGTGAAAGCAGTCTCATAATAAGGTAGTTACTGATTTCTGTACAAATGGTTGACACCAGAGACTTCTTCTGGGCTGTTAGATATCTATTTTGTATACGAAAAGTAATGTTCAAGTCATGTGTTGTGCAACATAACAAAAAATATGCTATACTCTCAGAATAATCTTTGCAAGCAGCCAAGTAAAAGGGAACAGAGTTATCATCTACCTCTAGCTTCCCCCCAGGAAGCTCTATTAAATAGTTCCTGATTGCTACCACTGCAGCAATGAGGACCTTCAACTCAACAGGTAATGTTCACCTTGTGGCTCATAAGCCTTTGAAAAATGATCCACAAAATAAAGCCAGCCCCATTCCTTTGAATTGAAAACCAGTTACCCTTCAAATTCATACCCCTATGCACTATGTTAAATGGTTTAAAAACTGAAGCAAAAAAAATTAAAGTATTTGTGCATCTTACAGCAGTAATTCACTTCTGAAATAACAGAAGTGTTGACAAAAGCAATGAAGTAGCTAATCACTACCATCCTACAGCAAACTGGGTGGTGATGCTATTGAAATAACATGCAATACATTTCTTAAGCTTTGGAATTCCTTGTCCCAGGACATCATAAACCCTAAAAATACTCAATTCAGTCTATTTTAAAGTTTTTTGCCTCATCTCAGTGTTACAGAATTGCTGCATGCTGCAGTCTCATACTCTTATTTCATCTGCCACAGGCAATCAAAAACCCAACACTAGGTGGCCCTTTCATCTAATGCAGTCATGTGCACTGACATACAGTTATTAATAGAGCCATATTTTCTGGTGCTATAGAAGTATGTAGTATTTACTTGACTTAAATTAGTCAGAGAGTCAACATGATCAGTTTGTTTTGAACAGCTAACTAGAGAGTAAAGAGCAGGCTGGGGAAGCAACGTAGCAAAGAATTATGTAGAAAGTTTCCATTTATTAAATTTGCAATTTTCCAAAGTATCTTTATAAAACCACTGGAAGACCTAACAAACACTTGTTGAGCTGAAGTGCAAAGACCTTTAAAACCAGAAGGTTTACCTCAAAAGGCACATGATAATAGCAAAAAGATAATATTTCCAACTTGGAAATCACAAGAAAGCACTGAAGACTCAAAGGTGGGATTACATTGTTTTACCATCAACTGTACCGATACCCATTAGGTGATTGGAAGAAAGAATCTTCAACACAAGTTTAATAAACACACTGGCAGCCTAAACATCACACTGCTTCCCTACTGTATCAAAACTTTTAGTCAAGAATCTGTTTGATCTTAATCGAAGAGCACCCAGAGGATTTTGGACAATAGCACCAGAATGCTTTGCCTTTCTTGTTCATATGATGTGTTCTGGATCATACCTTCCAGTCACAGCAAGTTGATGTACACGCGCTCCAAAACTGTAGCCCAGGTTAGCTCCGAAATTCTCCCAAATTCACGTGTTCCCATACAAAATGATACCTGATATTGCAGCCTATACAGTTATTTTTTTCCTTTCTTGGCTGCAGTCTTCTTTCCTCCTTTTTTAGTATTATTCGTGTATTTTGCTTCCAGTTGGGCCAAAAAGTTATCCATTTCCTTTTTTCGATCTTTATTTCTGCTCTGGGGGAGGAAAAAACAAACCAAAACCACTCTTTTACAAAATTTTTTTACTACTTCCCAATACAGATTATCCTATTGAAGTTAGATGGCTACATAAAATCTTGGAATAAATTAAACAGGGAATGCAAGCTACAGAAAGTACAGTACCATCAAGCAGAAGCCAGCCTGAATTCTCTAGGCTCCATACCGAACTTCCTGAATTATGGAGAGAGGTAGCGTGGCTGTAAAAGTCACAACATAAGGCCAGGAAAAGCAAAGCAATTTCTAGTTTATACCCCAAACTATTACATTTTGAGGAATGATTTAGCATAAACATTCTAGGAAGGCCACTGGACGGTAAGAAAATAAAACCAGAAAACATCCCAAAAAGCAGAACGTAAACAGTTTCTTTTCTCCATCCCTGAGACACAATAGCAAAATAGTGAGACCTATCAACCCCCTACATCCTTGTGGAATCCATCAGAAAGAATCATTGACACTCTCTGTGCAACTGCCTAAGGCCAGAATTCAAATATTCTGCTTGTGTATGCAATAATAATACTACAATAAGTGTTAATTTAAAAAAAGACAGAGATAATAAAACCCATACAATTCTCTGATTATTAAAGTATGTAGACAGCTAACATCAAGGTCAGATTTTAACCTCAGGAACTCAAAACAGCTGCAAGGATCCAAAATACAAAGGCGCTCAGGGAAAACATGATTTTAAGCCAGTAACATAATTATGTTTAACAGATAGAAAAAAGCCTTACCTGAATCAGCGCTTTCAAGTCATCTTCTCCACCAAGGCCCAGCTCATCTTTAGTCTTTTCTGCCTCTCTAGCTTCTTTTTCTGCCTAAAATAGCAAAGTAGGTTTTTTTAAAAGTATTTTGCATGTTATTTGACAAAGTCTTACAGTAGTTACCAAATGTTATTTTTTGCATCTCCATACAAATAGCTGCAGAGAAATATGAACAGTTTCTAAGTTTGACCACAGATGAGAAATTAGTCCAAGAAAGCCCATTCTGGTTCCACAATTTAGCCGAGCAAGACAGTTTTTTGGTGTTCCACAATGCTGAATGTGACGTCTATCTGCATCCGTTTCCCCCAGCCAGTTTTTATTTGTCTGAGTAGCTATTATACTTTAACTGGTTACTGTGATGTGTATAGAACATATTCTACAAATATCCAGGTAGCAGAAGAGGTCCATTTAGTCCTGAATGTTACTGCACACTTGCCTAAAGGCAAGCATAATGTTTCCCACCATGTACACTTCTTAACTCTGGCAACTCATGGCTTTGTAAATAAATGCAGGAACATGCTAAACTGTAATAAGCCATTGTGTATAATAATGAAATAAAAGTAATATGCAACAGCCTATTACAACTCAGAAGCTTTCCACAACAGTTTCTGGGAGGGCGTGGAGAACACAGGTTAACAAACATGGAAGTCAAAGATCCTGAGCAAGATCTGTAACCCAGCGATCCCGGGGCAAACATTTGGCTCAGGGGCAGTTTCATTTATTTCTACCAAGGGAAATTAAAAGCTTGTAATAGATAACGCGTTCTCTTTGGTCCCTAATTGATATAACCTACCCGCCTTTTTCTTGCTGTCATTTTCTGCTTAGACTCTTTTACGAAACCTTTGTAGGATGGGACTTCCCCAGCAGCAATGGCTTTTTCAATGATTTTCCGTATCCTTGGTTCATCCGTATAGTCCACACACAACACTGACTCCATTATTCT